GACAATGAAGTATTTTTTATTAGCAAAGTTCTATCCTGCTTATATACATTTTAACCTTTTTAGAAAGTTGAGAAATTTTAGGTACTACTCATTGATGAACAATTCTATTATTTTGGCAATACAGTAGAGGTTCTAGTGTCTTCCGTTGTCTCTTAAAATATATGTTCTATGCATTTCTGATGGGCTGAAACTTTATGTTGATATAAAGCAAGATTATATAAAAATTATATATTTTGTAGTAAAATTTGAAAATATAATCTGTCTTGGAAACAGTTTCTAACCTCAGTTTTCCTTCAATACTATATTTAAATATCCTTTTTCCTAAAATAGTAAAGTGAGAAAAATAATAATACTTGGCATAGGAACTGCTCTTGCAGTTGTTACTTCCTCTGGTCTAAGAAAATGAAAGACCATTAGGATAGTTTCTAAAAATATTCCAAGAAAATTTTAAAAGGGACAGTTTGTCTTTTAGAAACTTTCAGTCACTCTGAAATATGTGTTATGCTTTCAATTTATTTAATTCTACATTGCTTATATGGTATTTTCTAAGATTTGACGCAGAACAGAAAAGAATAAGGTTACCAGTTTATTTTCAAAAGAGCTTATGCAAACAACTAGTAACCAAATATAAGACTTTTCCAGTTGATTTGAAAATATGACTTCCTGTCAAATGGGTGCTGATTTCTCAGGAATAGTGGCAGAGCTTTGAAAAGATAAAATGAATCTGAATTAATCCTGCCTTTAATCTCAAAGGGAAAATAACCTCTCAAGCAGATAAAGTGCTTTTTTCTTAAATTGAGTTGTCATTAAATTAATGGAGTCTGACTTTTCTGAAAAATATTTCCTATCAGGTTGATCTTCAAAATATTTAACAGCTAGTAACATGGTATTCCTACATACATGAATCAAAAATTAGAAAATATATTCCTTTTCATTCACTTAAGTGACTATAAATATAAATCTCATAATCAGCTGATGTAATTCATAGCATAAATATTTAACCATATTATTCCAATAATTTGTTTGTAGACTTAGAAGTGTTAAAAATAATTTTTTTTGTTTGATATAGATGTGGTTACTTAAATTATGCCCTTTCTGAGCCACATCAACATTTTAGGAATCAGTGAATTAAAATGGACTGTAATGGGTGAATTTAATTCAGATGACCATTATTATATCTACTACTGTGGGCAATGAATGCATCACCAACTCGATGGGCATGAGTTTGAGTAAACTCTGGGAGTTGGTGATGGACAGGGAGGCCTGGCGTGCTGCAATTCATGGGGTTGCAAAGAGTCGGACACGACTGAGCAACTGAACTGAACTGATACTATACTAAGATACATTGGTGTGTTTGAAACAGATGACAATGATAATAATAAGCTATTTGTTGAGGAATTAATAAGACATTGTGATAAATACTCTATATGCATTATTTCATTCAATCCTGACAACATCCGTATGATTGTTTTCCTTTTTACATACAAGAAAGCTAAAAACCAGAGATAATATATGACACAAGGACATATAGTTATTAAGAGTTGGAGAAGACCTTCATGAGGATATTATGTCTGACTCCAAAAGCTGAAGATAAGTATAACTACTGCAATGCCCATATAGAATAAAGAGTTTACAAAATATCAAGGAAAAGATATTCTAAGTAGTAAGAACCATATAACCAAGAACCTGAGATAGAAACTAGAAAGTACATACAAGAACTTTCTATGTAATTCAATACCAGCTCTGTGTGAGAGATAAGCACTCCCAAGAGCCACAAATAAACTCTTTTGATCTGCTCTGTCCAATACAGTAGCCACTAGTCATCCTTGCCAACTGAGCATTTGTAATGTAACTAGTCCAAATTGAGACATGCTATAAATGTAAAATACACACTAAATTTCAAAGATTTACAAGAAAGTGAAATAACTCACTAGTTTTTTATGTGTAATTATATATTGAAATTTCAATGATGTAGAAGCTTTATACCGTCAGCAAAAATAAGACAGGGGCCTGATTGTGGCTCAGATCATGACCTGCTTATTGCCAAATTCAGACTTAAAATGAAGAAAGTAAGGAAAACCAGAAGACCATTCAGGTATGACCTAAATCAAATCCCTTATGATTATACAGTGGAAGTGACAAATAGATCCAAGGGATTAGATCTGATAGAGTGCCAGAAGAACTATGGATAGAGGTTCAAGACACTGTACAGGAGGCGGTGATCAAGACCATCTCCAAGAAAAAGAAATGCGAAAAGGCAAAATGGTTGTCTGAAGAAACCTTACAAATAGCTGAGAAAAGAAGAAAAGCTAAAGGCAAAGGAGAAAAGGAAAGATATACACATCTGAATGCAAAGTTCCAAGGAATAGCAAGGAGAGGTAAGAAAGCCTTCCTCCGTGATCAATGCAAAGAAATGGAGGAAAACAGTAGAATGGGAAATACTAGAGATCTCTTCAAGAAAATTAGAGATACCAAGGGAACATTTCATGCAAAGATGGGCACAATAAAGGACAGAAATGTTAAGGACCTAACAGAAGCAGAAGATATTAAGAAAAGGTGGCAAGAAAACACAAAAGAACTATGCAAAAAAATCTTGGTGACCCAGATAACCACGATGGTGTGATCACTCACCTACATCCAGACGTCCTGCAATGCAAAGTCAAGTGAGCTTTAGGAAGCATCACTACAAACAAAGCTAGTGAAGGGGATGGGATTCCAGCTAAGCCATTTCAAATCCTAAAAGAGGATGCTGTGAAAGTGCTGCACCCAATATGCCAGCAAATTTGGAAAACTCAGCAGTGGCCACAGGACTGGAAAAGGTCAGTTTTCATTCCAATCCCAAAGATAGGCAATGCCAAAGACTGTTCAAACTACGGCACAATTGCAAGCATCTCACACGCTAGCAAAGTAATGCTCAAAACTCTCCAAGCCAGGCTTCAACAGTATATGGACCAAGAACTTCCAGANAAAAGATGCTTGCTCCTTGGAAGAAAAGTTATGACCAACCTAGATAGCATATTAAAAAGCAGAGACATTATTTTTCCAACAAAGATCCATCTAGTCAAGGCTATGGTTTTTCCAGTGGTCATGTATGGATGTGAGAGTTGGACTATGAAGAAAGCTGAGCACCGAAGAATTGATGCTTTTGAACTGTGGTGTTGGAGAAGACTCTTGAGAGTCCCTTGGACTGCAAGGAGATCAAACCAGTCCATCCTAAAGGAAATCAGTTCTGAATATTCACTGAAAGGACTCATGCTGAAACTGAAGTTCCAATACTTTGGCCACCTGCTGAGAAGAACTGACTCATTTGAAAAGACCCTGATGCTGGGAAGACTGCAGGCAAGAGGAGAAGGGGATGACAGAGGATGAGATGGTTGGATGGCATCACCAACTTGATGATAATGAGTTTGAGCAAGCTCCACGTGTTGGTGATGGACAGGGAAACCTGGCATGCTACAGGCCATGGGGTCACAAAGAGTTGGACACAACTGAGCAACTGAACTGAACTGACATATTGAAATAACATTTTTAATATATTTGGTAATGTAACATGCATTATTAAAATTAATTTATTATTTTTTAAATGGGTTACAATAACATTTAAAAATTACTAATGTGGCTCCTATTGCCTTTCTATTGGATGGCACTGCTAGACACCATCTTCCAAATCTATCTGAATTCTTTCCACTCCTTTTCATCTCTACTGCAATAACCCTATTCTGGACCCCTTGATCTTTTGGTAGTACCACAACACCCTAAGTATTCCCTGTGTTTTTACTTGTTTGCTTCCAATGTATTCTCTCTATAAGAGCCAAAATAGTTTCTTTAAAAATAACTTAATCATGTTATCCTCCTGTTGATAAATTGTCCAATGACGTCCCACTGTACTTTAAATAAAATTCAAACTTCTTACCACAGCCTCCAAAGCCCCCATATAACTTCAGCCCTGACTAACTTTCCAAAGTCAACTTGTACCACAATGCTGGTCTCCTCTCAGTTTTTTTTAACATACCAAGTTTCTTCCTAACTTAAGACCTTTGCACATGCCATTATTTCTACCTGAAATGCTCTTTCCCTCACTCTTTCCACAGCTAGCTTTTCTCCTTTCAGGTCTTGACTTAAGACCTTCCCAAAGAGACACTCCCCAACCACACTGCTGAAACATGTTTCTTCCCTTAGTCACCACAATTTGAAATTATGTGTGTGTGTCTGTGTTCTTGTTTTATTTAACAACTAACTCCCCCACTAGAATGTGAGCTCCATGAGGGCCGCGGACAATATGTAATTCAACAAACCCTGAATCTACTGGTAGGCACTCAACTTAAATGAATAAATGACCAATATAATGAATGTCACTACTAAAGTAATTTTGAAATAAATATAAAAGCATACTAATAGAGATTAGTATATGAATTAATTCTAATTTTTGTAGAATTGTTTGGTCTACTATCATTTATAATATTAAGCAAACTAATCTTTGGCAACTAAATGTAATGCTCAGATGCTTAATCATTCTAAGGCAACAAAAATATTTAAGAAAAATCTTATTTTGGATTCAAGAACTTGCACTGTTAACGATACTTACAATATTGGCATTCCACGTAGTCTAAACTATGCCATAAATACGATAACAAATCTTTAAATATTTTAGTCAGGGACAGTCTCCCTTTGTATAGTCTCATCCCACTCCAAATTATTTTCCATACTATTGGATGGAATTATGTTCTCATAAAATCTTTCAGACCAATCGACATCTCAAGAGGATGAATTAAAAACAAAATATCAAATCTAACATTTCAAAATCTTTTGAGGAAAAAATACCAATATCAAACAGAATATCAATGATAAATCATCCCTGATCCATATAGAAATGAATAAAAAATATCCATATAGAAATGCACCAAGAAAATGGAGGTGAAAGGTAACCACAAATGTCTTACTCTTCCACTAACTTCAGTTCAAAGTCAAATTCTACTTATTACAAATGTACAGCACAGTGATCACAGAACATTAACAGTTGTCAAGTGCCGAGAAATTAGTTCTTCTGTACTAGAATGTCAGAAAGTACATTTTACTTTACATTTTACTACTAAAGGCTTTAATAATAAATTTTTTGAGAAAACTCCAAATTTATTCTACTATCAGAGGTTCACTCTATGATGGTGATATTTCACTTCAGCTAATTATTGATTTTAACACTGGAGCAATCATCCTAAGTATATTCAGTTCACTCAAGATAAACAAATATCATCTATATATAGAGAGAAGTCACCATCGTCATAAAATTAGAATATTACAGAATATTACATTACCTGTCTGTGAGAGGTTGGGAGGGCATTCTTTTACTCAATGATGGAAGATCCAGAGAATCTGGTTTCTTATCCATTCTGCAACATGCTTGGATATTTAAGTATTTAAATATGTGTACTTTACCTTTTAAACATATCTGTCAATAAATAATAGAGTAAGATTATAGTTCCAAATATAAAGTCATTTACCAATTTATTAATAAATTTTAATAACTTCAAATTACTCTGAGATATAACAATCATGATAGATACTTTACATATCTAAATACTTCGTACTTTGGACACTAGGTGAAAAAATCTGACAGCACTGACAATAACTAAAACTATTGTGGTCTCTGTTCTTATTAGAAAAAACTAAGTCAATTTTTCTGTATTTCCCTGAACTATTTTGTTAAAAGCACAATGTACAAACCGCTAAACAATATAAAATTTATAATTCATAAAAGTTGCCTTCACTAGAAAAAATGCTGCTGCTACTGCTGCTGCTGCTGCTGCTGCTAAGTCGCATCAATCATGTCTGACTCTGTGTGACCCAAGACAGCAGCCCACCAGGCTCCTCCATCCCTGGGATTCTCCAGGCAAGAATACTGGAGTGGGTTGCCATTTCCTTCTCCAGTGCATGAAGGTGAAAAATGAAAGTGAAGTCGCTCAGTCGTGTCCGACTCCTCATGACCCCATGGACTCTAGCTCACCAAGCTCCTCCGTCCATGGGATTTCCCAGGCAAGAGTACTGGAGTGGGTTGCCATTGCCTTCTCCAGAAAAAATGAAAAGAAATATATTCATTGTAGTGGTAAGAACAGAAGAAAAATAAAAAACAACCCATGTAATTCTTTAAAGTAACCTCATCAGAACCACTAAGTCTAAACACTGCAAGAAAGTTAATCAAACGAATGCAAATACAGGATAAATTTGTTGAAAGGTGTGATGGTAAGCCACTTAAAATAAAACAAAACAAATTTTTAAATGGTCAATTCAACTAATATAATATCCAGGAAAATTATTTTCATTGGTAATAAAGAAAAAGAATAATGAGGGGGAAAATACTGTGTGAAAGAAAGTATTTTATATAAAAAGATAGACTAATGAGCAGTAGGGAAACAATAAGTTGGCTTTACAAAGGATAACTGCAGTCACCATAAATGTTATCAAATAAATATTTCTCAAAATTTAGAATAGAAAATGTTGTTTTATGGAGGCACATAACCTAGCAACACACAAAAACAATCAATAAAGAAAAAAATAGAAATAGCACATTAAAACGTAATTATCATTCCAGGTAGAAAGAAGAAACAGTTCTTAGATAAATCTAATAGATACCAGATCTGACCTGACCACTGAAAAATTTCATTTAAAAGGAAAATGTAAACCATTTGTGCTTTAGAATATAAATATATTACCAATTAAAATGTATCCTATTATCCATCCAAATTTGTAAAAATTATCTATTTCCAAATTAAATGCTGATAAATTACTTTTGTAAATTTAATTTATATAATCATAATTCACATACAGTTTTAAAATTAAAGAGAATTATAAAACAGCTAACAAAAAATTAAGCCCCTGTTCCACTCCTTTCAATTTCTAAGACCCAGTCCCCACATTTAACTCTTTCAGTTGGTTTCTGCTTTTTACCTTCATATTTATAAATAACATGGTTCTAGTGGTATTTTTTATTTTTCAATTATAGATTTTATTTATCGAGGTCTTACTAAGGAACATGAGGACTTAGATTTCTTGTGTTATCACTACCACTGACATACCAGATAGATGGGCCCCAGGCTGAACAGCTGAAATCTGTCCCCTGTGGACAGATACTTCAAGATAAAGATAATGGCAGGAACAAGGAGGAGCTGAGTCCTGCTTGAACTTGGATAGAAGATAAAGAGACCACATATTTCTCATTCTTAAGGTCAAAGAGGCTTCTCTGACTACACATGTGCAGAAAGGTTCCTCAGTAGATCAGAGAAGGGAGGGGGCACCAGACCATAATATGCTCTTCTTCCCAGAAGCCCTTGCCTTGGAATCCATCTTGGCTAAGAGATGCACACACACACACACACACACAGGGGAGGACCCTGAGTTAAACCAAATAGGAATTCAGAGCCAGGCAAAAGCAAGATGACTGGCCAAAGGAGACTTGGAAAAAGTGCCCTATATGAATGATTTAGGGCTGGTGTGCTCCTCCTCACTGGTGGGGGCGGGGGGAGCGGGGCGGGGGTGCTCGGGGTTTGCCACACACACTTTCTCTCCAGGTATGTATCTCTGCCTTGCTTCTGTCTTAAACAAACTGTTTCTCTGTGTGCTCTCCAACTTGTGTGTGTTAGTCGCCGAGTTGTGTCCAACTCTTTGCAACCCCATGGACTGTACCCCACCGGGCTCACCTGTCCATGGACTTGTCCAGGCAAGAATATTGGAGTGGGTTGCCATACCCTTCTCCAGGGGACCTTCCCCACCCAGGAATCGATCCTGGGTCTCCTGCATTGCAGGCAGATTCTTTATCGTCTGAGCCACCAGGGAAGTGCTGTGTCTCTAATAAAAAACTATGTACCTGTTTTTCCAGTTTTTGCCTCCTTGAAACATTCTTACTTTCAAACAAGGGCAAGAGCCAGGGAAATTTTGCTTCTAGCCTCTAGGCAGAGGTTCAATTCCTAGACAGGGAACTAAGATGTTGCTTCAAGCCACTGCTCACTGCCATCTGCATGAGATCACCACCACTATCACATATCATCAAACCACCATATTCGCATCACCAATCCCTATCAACTCATATAAACATACTTCCTTCCTCTTCAGAAGCATAACATAATGGTTGGAACATGAAATCTGGAGTTAAGATTGCCTTGGTTTGAAACCAGGCTCCCCACATGCTAGTCATGTGACTTTGGACACGACAGGAAACAGCTACAGCTCTGTTTTCTCTTATATAAAATGAAGTATAATGACAGTATCTATTTTATAGGGTTGCTGTAAGAAATGAGTGAATGCATGTAAAGCATTTTCAATACAGTGCTTAGAGCATGGTAAGTGCCATATAAATCGTTGATATTATTACATTTATGTCACAATTTTTCATTATATCAAAATCTTGTATTTACAACAATATGACTAAGAAAGCAGTCACAGATGGACCACAGAGGTTAGATTCATTTCCTAAGTTTTTATTTTTCCTAAAGCGACTACTTGTCCCATTTTTCTACTTTGTTTAATTTTCTGATGTGAAGAACTGACTCATTGGAAAAGACCCTGATGCTGGGAAAGACTGAAGGCAGGAGGAGAAGAGGATGAGATGGCTGGATGGCATCACTGACTCAATGGACATGACTTTGAGTAAGCTCCGGGAGTTGGTGATGGACAGGGAAGCCTGGTGTGCTGCAGCCCATGGGGTCGCAGAGTCGGACATGACTGAGCAACTGAACTGAACTGTTAATTTTCTGTGTACCTACTACTAATTCATTCCTGACTCTGACAGAAGGGCAAAATGTCTCTCCATATTGATAAATACATCAAGTCAGCTATCAACTTCTTTATTGTTTTTCTATTTTCTTTTGGGAGACAACCCTTTCCCCACCAAACTGATTGGTTGCTAGACTCTAGGTCCATGCATACCAGTCTGTCTTAGATATGAAGAATTCTTCTTAATTTGTTCCTTCATTTTGATATAGTACACCCTCTACCGGCTTTCTAGTCAAGTGTGCAGGAGAGCTAAAATTTCTGAGATTTATCTTACAATTGACTGATAGTTTGACTTTACAAATTTGAGAATATTCCTTCAGTCACTGAAGGCATCATTCTAACATCTTCTAGTTCCCCATGCTGCTGCTAAGAAGTCATTCTGATTACCACCGCTATGAATGTGACCCATTTTGTCTTCATGGAAGCCTTTCAGTCTCTGCTTTCATGTTAGAAATTATTTATACAATGTCTAGTGATCCATGGATGTCTGTTCATTTTCAAAAGAAAAATGATAAGAAGTCAAATGGAAGCTCTGTGTAAGAAGGAGAAGTTTATCAATGATCAGCCCGTGTCTAGAGAACAGATTGTGACTGTACACTGCTTCAGGGGACTGCCAATGATCAGTATACCTACAGGTCTTTTCTCATAGTTCAATCAGTCTACCAAGAGAGAAATCATCCATCCTATGTCACACGAGAGACACTGTAAGCATTCTGGGAGCCAAGCAAGAGAAGTCTACTGACACTCCCAACATTCAGTATATATGCATTCAGTATTGTCAATATGGGATCTCATTCGTGCCCATAGCTGTACCTGCAGCCCCTAACTCTGGTTGAGTCTCTCTAGAGCTGTGCTATCCAATATAGTAATCACTAGCCACATGTGGCTATTTAATCTAAATGAAACTAAAAATGAAATAATTCAATCACACTATATACTTTCAAGTGCTCAATAGCCACTTGTGGCTACCATATAGGACAGTACAAATATAGAACATTTCCATCATTACAGCAAGTTCAAATAGAGAGCACTGCTCTAAAGAGTAAACTCCAGGCTTATGCTGAGGGAAGGAATGATACTCATTCCGCTGATGAGCTGAGGAAGAGAATCTGAAAGAATTCACCTACTCCTCAGAGTAAACCCGAGGTTTCTGCAAAGGCAAGGGAAGGGAAGTCATGTAGCTGCAAACCTAAGGGCAAAATCAGTGCAAATTTAGGCCTGTATTGTTGAATATATAAACAACTAGTCATGTAAAATTATTGAAATTTCAATTAATAAAAATAAAATTAAAGTGAAAATTTTGTTCCTTAGTCACACTAGCCATATATCAAGTACTCAATAGTAATAGAAGAAAACAACAGAATGGGAAAGGCTAGAGATCTCTTCAAGAAAATGAGAGATACCAAGGGAACATTTCATGCAAAGATGGGCACAATAAAGGACAGAAATGTTTAGGCAAGAGAATTCCAGAAAAACATCTACTTCTGCTTCATTGACTATGCCAGAGCCTTTGACTGTGTGGATCACAACAAACTGTGAAACATTCTTAAAGAGATGGGAATACCCAACCACCTGACCTGTCTCCTGACAAACTTCTATGCAGGTCAAGAAGCAAGTTAGAAACGGACATGAAAGAGTGAACTGGTTCCAAATTGAGAAAGGAATACATCAAGGCTGTATATTGTCACCCTGCATATTTCACTTATATATAGAGTACATCATACAAAATGCTGGGCTGGATGAAGCACAAGCTGGAATCAAGATTGCCAGGAGAAATTATCAATAACCTCAGACATGCAGAAGACACCATCATTATGGCAGAAAGCGAAAAGGAACTGAAGAGCCTCTTGAGGAAAGTGAAAGAGGAGAGTAAAAAAGCTGGCTTCAAACTCAACATTCAAAAAACTAAAATCATGGCATCCAGTCCCATCACTTCATGGCAAATAGATGGGAAAACAATGGAAAGAGTGACATAATTTATTTTCGTGGGTTCCAAAATCCCTGCAGATGGTGACTGCAGCCGTGAAATTAAGATACTTGCTCCTTGGAATAAAAGCTATGACATACCTAGACAGCATATTGCAGAGAAGGCAATGGCACCCCACTCTAGTACTCTTGCCTGGAAAATCCCATGGATGGAAGAGCCTGGTGGGCTGCAATCCATGGGGTCGCTACGAGTCAGACACGACTGAGCAACTTCACTTTCACTTTTCACTTTCATGCACTGGAGAAGGACATGAGAACCCACTGCAGTGTCCTTGCCTGGAGAATCCCAGGGACGAGGGAGCCTGGTGGGCTGCCTTCTATGGGATCACACAGAGTCGGACATGACTGAAGCTACTTAGCAGCAGTAGCAGCAGACAGCATATTGAAAAGGAGAGACATTACTTTACTGACAAATGTCCGTCTAGTCAAAGCTATGGTTTTTCTAGTAATCATGTGTAAATGTGAGAGTTGGACCATAAAGAAGTTCAGTTCAGTTCATTTCAGTTCAGTCAGTCATGTCCAACTCTTTGCAACCCCATTGACCGCAGCCCGCCAAGCTTCCCTGTCCGTCACTGACTCCCGGAACTTGCTCAAACTCATGTCCACTGAGTCGGAGATGTCATCCAACCATATCATCCTCTGTCGTCCCCTTCTCCTCCTGCCCTCAATCTTTCCCAGCATCAGGGTTTTTCCAAACGAGTCAGCTCTTCCCATGAGGTAGCCAAAGTACTGGCGTTTCAGCTTCAACATTAGTCCTTCCAATGAATATTCAGCACTGATTTCCTTTCGGATTGACTGGTTGGATCTCCTTGCAGCCCAAGGGACTCTCAAGAGTCTCTCCAACACCACAGTTCAAAAGCATCAATTCTTCAGCGCTCAGCTTTCTTTATAGTCCAACTCTCACATCCATACATGACAACTTGAAAAACCATAGCCTTGACTAGACAGACCTTTGTGGACAAAGTAATGTCTCTGTTTTTTAATATGCTGTATAGTTTGGTCATAACTTTCCTTCCAAGGAGCAAACGTCTTTTAGTTTCATGGCTGCAATCACCATCTGCAGTGATTTTAGAGCCCCCCAAAATAAAGTCAGCCACTGTTTCCACTGTTCCCCCATCTATTTCCCATGAAGTGATGGGACCGAATGCCATAATCTTAGTTTTCTGAATGTTGAGTTCTAAGCCAACTTTTTCACTCTCCTCTTTCACTTTCATCAAGAGGCTCTTTAGTTCTTCTTCACTTTCTGCCATAAGGGTGATGTCATCTGCATATCCGAGGTTATTGATATCTCTCCCAGCAATCCTGATTCTAGCTTGTGCTTCATCCAGCCCAGCGTTTCTCATTATGTACTCTGCATATAAGTTAAATAAGCAGGGTGACAATATACAGCCTTGATATACTCCTTTCCCGACTTGGAACCAGTCTGTTGTTCCATGTCCAGTTCTAACTGTTGCTTCCTGACCTGCATACAGATTTCTCAAGAGGCAGGTCAGGTGGTCTGGTATTCCCATCTCTTTCAGAATTTTCCACAATTTGTTGTGATCCACACAGTCAAAGGCTTTGGCATAGTCAATAAAGCAGAAGTAGATGTTTTTCTGGAACTCTCTTGCTTATTCCATGATCCAATGGATATTGGCAATTTGATCTCTGGTTCCTCTACCTTTTCTAAATCCAGCTTGAACATCTGGAAGTTCACGGCATAAAGAAGGCTGAGTGCCAAAGAACTGATGCTTTTGAACTGTGGTGTTGGAGAAGACTCTTGAGAGTCCCTTGGATGACAAGGAGATCAAACCAGTCAATCCTAAATTAAATCAATCCTGAATATTCATTGGAAGGACTGATGCTGAAGCTGAAGCTCCTATACATGGCTACCTGATGTGAAAGGTGAACTCATCGGAAAAGACCCTGATGCTTGGAAAGATTAAAGGCAGGAGAAGTAGACAACAGAGGATGAGGTGTTTGGATGGCATCACCGACTCAATGGACTTGAGTTTCAGCAAGCTCTGGGAGATGGTGAAAGACAGTGAAGCCTGGCATGCTGCAGTCCATGGGGTCACAAAGGGTCTGACATGACTGAGCGAATGAACGATAGTAGTGGACATCACAAATTATACAATATTTCCATTATTTAGAAAGTTCTATTCAATAGCAGAGCCTTAGATATTCTACAGACCTTCATGTTTTCAGTCTTTCATCCCTGTATTTAGTTACATGTTTCATTCAATAATCACCAAAGAAACACCCGAGCCATTCCCAAATTTAACACAGTAAAATCAACTTGCTTCTTGTTGCCTTCTCCCATAGCAGACACAGGTTTTGGGTTTCCCCATCCTGCTATGGTAGCTTCTACCAGGACTCCAGCCAGCTTTTAGTATTTGAATTTAGAAAAAAAAGACACTCACTTGCAATGAGTAGAATGCACCTTTGTAGGAAAAGAGAAAAAAACAAAAGCACTCTTCTGGATGTATACAAACCCAGCGCCAGGGCATATAGCTTGGAAATAGAGTACAGACTGGCATTTCACTACCATGTGCCTCCAAAATCAGATACTCTTGTGCAGTGTAAGTGGAGATCCTAGTTACCACTATTTCACCTATTTTCCATTTTCCAAAATTCTGTTGCCATCTCTCCCCTGCTGTCCTCTTCTCTCTCAATCTTTGTCTTCATGGGTTTATAGTTTAGTGTACTCCTTTATTATCATTTTAGTGGATTCCACATGAATTTAATTCTCAAACTAAAAGTCAAACCAATCAGTCCCAAAGGAAATCAACCCTGAATATTCACTGGAAGGACTGATACTGAAGCTGAAGCTCCAAAACTCTGGCCACCTGATGCGAAGAGCCAATTCATTGGAAAAGACCCTGATGCTGGGAAAGATTGAAGGCAGGAGGAGAAGAGGGCAACAAAGGATGAGATGGTTGGATGGCATCACCGATTCAATGGATATGAGTGAGCAAACTCTGGGAGACAGTAAGGGACAGGGAAGCTTGGCGTGCTTCAGACCATGGGGTTGCAAAGTCAGACATGACTGAGTGACTGAACAAAAAAGGTTTTCAACTTGAATCTTTCTGTTATGATTCCACTTTTTGGTGCTAAAAATGTATTCCAATCAATCACACAACAAATCTCAAGTAAATATATATCTGAGTAGGACAGAGGTAGACAGAATCCTTAGTCTATCCTTTTAAAATAACACAAACCACCAGAATTATCACTTCACAAGCAGAAAGTCGGTATCTGGGTTATCCAAATCCTCTTCTCTAGAAACGAAGCTAAACCTCCTACCAAGGTGAAAAAGCCACTTCTCAGAAAAAAACACTTTTGATAGTAGTACCTCAAAAACAAACTGACTCCTAATTCTGATGCTTTTGTATTTACCAGAAACATATAATTCTGAATAAAAATAAAAGAAGCAAGTATCATTATTGTTTTAAATTACAAACCTGTGCTGGTGGTACTTGCAAAGGATTGTTATCCAAAATTATTACTTGTAAATGATGCAGCTTCCTGTAACAAACTGGAATTTCGGTCACTTTATTACAAGAGAAATCCAGCTTGACTAAGGGAAGATCTCCTAATTCTGTTCAGAAACAAAAATTATTTAATTAAATTCTATACAGTTATTCTCTTATTCATGTGAGTAAGAACAGTGAGCATCTTACCATCTGGTAATGCCTGAAGATTATTTCTTCTTATATTTAGCTCTCTAAGTGACTGTAATTTTCCCATTTGTTGGGGAAGAACCTGAATCTCATTGCAGCTAATATCCTAAGGAAAAAAGAAAATAAAATTATAACAAACTAATGGAGAAATAGTGATATATTGCTACTTTTTAACTAAAGCACATGGCTAATAGCTAGCAAGTCACATCCAATGTAATTTCTCTAAATATGGATTATCAGGCAGATTTATATTTATGTTACACCATGAAATCAATCCAGCACAATTAACATAAATTTTTTGTGTAAAAGTGTGAGGTTATAACTTAGTAATACATAAGTCAGCATTTTGAAAATCTCAACTAAAGACCACTCTTACCAACTAAAACCAGAAGGTGCTCTTCATTCACAGGTAAAATGAAAGAGAACTATCAATCACTGGGATAATTTGTCAATTATAGTATTGTTTGGGCTTCCCTGGTGACTCAGACGGTAAAGAATCTGCCTGCAATGAGGGAGATCTGGGTTTGGGTTGGGAAGACCCCCTGGAGGAGCACATGGCAACCCACTCCAGTATTCTTTCCTGGAAAATCCCCATGGACAGAGGAACCTGGTGAGCTACAGTCCATGAGGTCTCAGAGAGTCAGACATGACTGAGCGACTAAGCACAAAAAGTAGTTGTTTTGAGATACCTGGTTGGGCAAGAGGTGAGAAAGACAAGGATTTACAGATGTGAGCTGGAGAATCAAAGACCATGGTCAGAATTGATTTAACAAAACCTGCTTCTATGAGGGATTACAGGCTCAAAATTTGATGGCTCACACCATAACCCAAAGACATTCTAAGAGATCTGGTCAGAACTGCCTCATGGTTACATTAAAATGCAAACCTCGATTTTAAGGTAAACAATACCACATTTCCATAATAATAGAAGAAAGGAAGAGCTTAAGTTATTAAACTGTGCAGTCCTCTCCCCTTTTCTTATTATCATATCAACAGAAAGGGAAGAAGAATCTGCAAGATCTCAAGCAGAAGTCATTCTAGACACACTGCAAATAAAATTCATATTCTACTGCAACTGCCCACAATTTCCAACTTTGACTGGAAATGACATTTAGCTTGGAAGGAAAGGCGTGGCACATACATGTATTGTTTTATCAAAAGTAAAAAAGGCAGGAGGGTAAATTCAAAAGAAGAATATTGTTGTTATTTAGTCACTGAGTCATGTCTGACTTTTGCGGGACCCCATGGACTGTAGCCTGCCAGGTTCTCCTGTCCATGGGATTTCCCAGGCAAGAATACTGGAATGGATAGCCATCCCCTTCTCCAGGGGATCTTTCCAACCCAGAGATCAAACCCTCATTGCCTGCATTGGCAAGTGGATTCTTTACCCTGAGTCACTGGGGAAGCCCCTAAAGAATATTAAATAATATCTAATCATCTAACCTATAGATTTAAAAATGTATCTACATGCCTCTTTCAAATGTATCTACATGCCATCTTCATTCAACAACAACTATTTATCAAATATGAACTATTTGCCAGGCACTGTTCTAGGTGCTGGGGACGTATCAATGAATAAAACAAACAAAAAGTCCTGCCCTCAGAGCTCCTTATGGATACTACATTATAGCAAAAGGAGTAGATTACACAATATGCTAGAAATGCTATGGAGGCAAAAAACAGAGCAGGGTAAAAGAAAATGGTAGTGCTAATAATATTGGGGAAGGATAGGAATTTAGATTGTTTCATAGTTAATATTTGAGCACTATTATCAGAAGTGAGAGTACGAGCCATGTGAATACAAAAGAAAGGAATATTCCAGACAGAAGGAACAATAAATGTAAAGGCTCTTAAGCAAAGCATATGTAACATGTACTAAGAACAGCAATGAATCCAGTGTAGCTAGAGAAAAGTGGGCAAGGGGAAGACTAGGATGGAGGGGAAAGTTTTGGCTTTTACTCAGAAATGTGGCCAGGTACCAGAAACTTTTAAACAGAGGTATGACAAAATCTAACTTATGTTTTGACAAAGATCACCTTAGCTATTGTATTGAGGATAGTCCAAATGATGGATAAAAAAAACTTCAGAAAAACATCCATTAAAGTAGATATTATGGCTCCCTCCCAAAGGTGCCTAATACTGAAGATTTCCATACAAAAAAATTAATAAAAATAAAAATTTGACAGGCAGCTGCCACTTCATAGAAGAAACAAACCCAGCACAAGATACTGAACTACTCACCAACGGGTACTCTACAAAATACTCAGCTGGGATTTGAAGGCCTGAGACTATTTCCTAGATCTAATGACAGACTTCACTATAGCCTGCTATGACATTTCTAGGATATACTGTCCTGGGAAAACATTCCAATGACAGGTAATATCCACAAATTAATTCTGTGATGTAAATTGCCAATTAAAAAAATAAAAAATAAAATTATCAATTAGCCACCCTAATGCAACCTATCCATTGTTACTGATTTTGAAAGTTGAAAGCACAATAATTCTACAGTGCTAGTAAAATAATGATTAATATGTTTTCATATTCTATTTAAATAAAAATACTACACTAAATCTCAAAATCCTAAATATTTTTGAAATTTCATTTATCCAAAAACTATCTCATGTAATATAATTTAAAACATAGGGTCAAAAACTGAATTAAAAAGAAAGAAAAAAGAAATTACAGAGCCAAAGAATCTCTTTTTAAAAATATTTATTTATTTGGCTGCATCCAGTCTTATTTGCAGACACAGGATCATGCAGGATCGTCCCTTACAGCGCTCCGGCTCTCTAGTGGCAAGTGGGCTTAGTTGCTCAATGGCATGTGGGATCTTAGTTCCCTGATCAAGGATGGAACCTGCATCCCTTGCATTGCAAGGTGATTTCTTAACCAATGGACCATCAGGGAAGTCCCAGAGTCATAGAATCTTAAGGAGAATGTACATAAAATCTTTAAAAACATTAACAGTGTGCATGTCAAAGAAAGTAATGAACCCCTTGTATTATGAATTTGTTAGATCACATCTGGCATCTTCTGTTCACTTCTGAGTGTTACATTAAAAGAGACTATAATAAAAGGGAGCATTTTCAGGATAGAAATAGCTAAAAATAAAAGGCGATAAAGAATAGAAATATAGAAACTAAAAAAAGGAATAAAGGTAATAAAAATATTTAAGCCACAGAAAAACAGGTCTTAGAGTTTGGTAAAATGGAGAGTACACACACAACAAATTATAAATATTTGAAGGGAAGAAAAGTTATCATTATCTATACTTCTTCACATGATAGTCTCAAGACCAATGGATAAAAGTGATAGGGCATGTATCTTAGTTCAAAATGAGAAAGTTAACAAAATTTTGCAAAAGAGAAATAGGGCTGCCTCAGATACACAAACACAAAGGTTTGTCAACCACTGAAAATATACAACTAGATGTGTCAGGGATTCCTGCATTAGGAAGTGGTTTTATCTGATTACTTACAAGATTTCTTACAATATTAAAATTCTGTGGTTCTATAACATAACAAGACTAAACTCAAGGAAGTTTCCTTGCCATTACAACTGCATATGCTTATGAATTTTAAAAAAGGCATTCCTGAAATTTCTGTTCATTACATTCTATTTGTACATTAATTTCCCATTATAAGCTAGTACATAAGTTCTCCAAGAAAATTTTTCTCCCTCCACACATAAAAAATCATATTTATGAACACTTGAAAAAAAATCTATGTATTGGAAAAGCATTACTCAAGATAAAGTAGAAAGTAAAAAATAAACATCATGTTATATTGTGTAAGGTAGAAGTAACAGAAAGATGTGAAAATAACTCACTGTTTTGAAGATTTGATTATGTTTCTCTGAGTTCATTGTCCTATAATAGCTAAAATGATATGTTCAAAGTAATTACTTTAAATTACTCCTATATTTCTACAATCAATTATATATAAAGGCCTCTTTCCATTTATCTTCATTCCAAAAGTGTTATAAAGTTACATGGGGATATAGAAGAAGGTCATTTTATTAATTCTACTGCATGTAGGCATGTACTCTCTTATCTCCTCTCTCTGAAGCCTTCACTGAAGTCCTGTAAAACCTTAAAAAAAATAACCTTACCTTTTCCTGATCTAAGAACTTTATTGTCCACAAAAAGGATAGACAATTGCTTAGTTGTCTGAAACTATTTTTTAAGATTTGTAAGCAAGTCTTCTGATCTCACTAGGACTAAGGAACAACCACGGTTTTTATTGTAGTTGTGAGCTAAAATCAGACATGAGCAAGGGTATCTTGAAATATCACTAAAGAGAACTTAGGCATACACCAAGTTTTTTTTTTTTTAATTAGAGTGAAATTCCATAAAGGAATTAATCTCCCGAAATATAAAGATATGTGTTATGCACATTACATACAATCAATACAACTATTTTACTCACCAATTCCATTAAATCTTTTAACTTCCCGATTTCTTCTGGAATGGATACCAGTTTATTATTACTGAGGACCAAAACTTTAAGGGGAAGATCGAATAGGTATTTTGGCAATGTTGATAAAAGATTTCGACTGAAAAGAATAAGAAAGTCTCATTATGAGAAATAAGTCTGAAATGAAGGATGTTGAAAAAGAACAAATCACTTCAAAAGTAAGAATTTTTCACTAAATAACAACTATTATTTAATTAATGCTTACTTTGTAACAGACTAATATATTTACATGCACTGTCTCATTAAATCCTCATATTAACCTAAAAAGACAGGTGGTATTATCTGCATTATACAAATAAAATTAAAGGTTAAATTTGGTTAAGTCACTTGCCCAGGCACAAGTCTGCACTGTGACCTGTAATATTGTCCTACACATCATCAGCTCTCCAAACTCAAGAATTTTTCTGAGCTAGAGAAAATTCTAACTCAGAATTCTCAGAATTCTTCCAAGCTAAAGAATTGCCAGAACCTTGCTCTCTGGTATAATTTCACTATATTCAATACCTCCACACCTCTCACTATGGGAAGGCTCCAAGGATAAATTTGCATGCACTGTGTTCAAATTTATGACAGAATGAATAGAATTATACCTTTAAAAATATGTAGTAACCTTAACCCATTCTCTTTTGTTGCAGGTTTATGGTAGAACAGTCTATTAGCACCTTCATTTCAGCTCATAGTTGATATTCCTGTCTCTGCAGATATATTTAAATATAAGGACAACTAACACGTGTTACTATGTAGCAGGCCATGTTCACAGCACCTCACATGAATTAACTTGACTAATCCTCACAACAACCCACTTCAGGAAGATAGATACTATCATCATGCCCATTTTACAGATGAAGAAAAAGTCTAAGAGATTAACTGCTCAAAGTCACAAAGCTGGTAAGTGAGAGAACCAGGATTCAAATCCAGGCGATTTGACTTTGTGTCCCTTACCCTCAAACTAATTTTGGCCAAATGTGCATGCCAATGTAGGCTGACCCAAACTATCCCTGCTGTAGACTAAATGTTTGTGTTCTCCCCACTCAAAACTATAATGTTGAAGTCTAATCCCCAATGTGATGGTACATGGAGGTGGGGCTTTTGGGAGGTGATTAGTGGCCTTAAAAAGAGACCCCAGAGAGCTCCCTTTCTCTTTACTCCATGTAAGGACTCAGCTAGAAGAGAGTCATCTATATAAATCAGGAAACTGGTCTTCACCAGACACTGAATCGGCTGGCACTTTGATCTTGAACATTTCAGCCCTCAAAACTATGAAAAATAAATTTCTGTTGTTTATAATCACCCAGTCTACAGTATTCTGTTATAGTGCCATGAATGGACTAAGACAATCCTACTACCAAAGTATATATAAAGTGTACCACTACATTTACATACTATCATCATTCATTAGCAATTTGCTATTATCTTCCTTGCTTTTCAAAGTGATATTTATAGGCTGTGCATAGCATTTTGTATAACTACACAGCAATAAAACTCCAGTGTTACCCCAAGAGAGGGACTTCAAGCCCTTCTGCCCCATTCAAATAGATGGAGAAACAGTGGAAACAGTGGCTGACTTTATTTTTATGGGCTCCAAAATCACTGCAGATGGTGACTGCAGCCATGAAATTAAAAGACGCTTACTCCTTGAAGGAAAGTTATGACCAACCTGGACAGCATATTAAAAAGCAGAGACATTACTTTGCCAACAAAGGTCCGTCTAGTCAAAGCTATGGTTTTTCCAGTGGTCATGTGTGGATGTGAGAGTTGGACTATAAAGAAAGCTGAATGCTGAAGAATTGATGCTTTTGAACTCTGGTGTTGGAGAAGACTCTTGAGAGTCCCTTGGACTGCAAGGAGACCCAACCAGTCCATCCTAAAGGAGATCAGTCCTGGGTGTTCATTGGAAGGACTGATGCTGAAGCTGAAACTCCAATACTTTGGCCACCTCATGCAAAGAGTTGACTCATTGGAAAAGACCCTGATGCTGGGAGGGATTGGGGGCAGGAGGAGAAGGGGACGACAGAGGATGAGATGGTTGGATGGCATCACCAACTCAATGGACATGGGTTTGGGTGGACTCCGGGAGTTGGTGATGGACAGGGAGGCCTGGTGTGCTGCAGTTCATGGGGCTGCAAAGAGTCAGACACGACTGAGCAACTGAACTGACCGATACCTTCAAAGGATGTCCAGAAACACTAGACTGGTTTAATCACATGGCACAGACTTCAATAAAAAAGGCTAATGCCCCAAGACCAGAAATCCTAGCCAGACTGTTGGAATGCCAAATATGCTAGGTGTTTGTCACAGCTCTTGCACTTTAAGGATCAAGTACAATCCTTGGGAAAGTATCCTTTGGAGCACAAAGGGTCTTCCTGAGGATTCTACTGAAAAGAAGCATAGTATACAGGAAGAAAGAATAAGCTAAAAATTATCTTACAAGTTTCTCAAAATCTTTTCACCAAAATAAAAAATAAATAAATAGGAATAAGAATGGCACATACAAACTCAATCTAATCTCCCTCATACCAAGAAAGTTTAAAAATTGGTTTCTTTTCTTTCCTTAAGAAGCAGGTTTATTGAGTTAGCAGTCAGCTCTCTATTTCTTTATACTTAGTTAATAATCATAAATCTTCACTTTTGACACATGCTTTAGAGATAGCCAAAGAAAGCCAGTCATTAGAACAAGTGTTATTTTAATATAGTGAGTTTAAAACATTTTGTGTCTGTAAACAAAAATTACAAGTCAACTTTCAGAGATCAAAATGGAAAAGAATCACTAAAAGTTTTAGTAAAACTATTCTAAGACGTACCATAAATGTTAATGTATAAATTCAATTCAATTTTTGACAAATTGCTTTTTCCATAAAAGAACAAAATAAAATGATAATAAAGACAAAAAATTTAAAAATACCTCACTTTCCTCAAACCTTTCCCAAGCCAGGCCAAGGAGATTATGTACCCAGTTAGAGAAAGGAGCAACCCAAATGACCAATATCTATGGAAGGAAATTACTCTCACACATTTTAAGGTTAAAATGGTTTCAGTTAAAGTAATATGTACTGCCAGGTGACACCACTGAGGGAGATATACATAATAAATATCACATAGAAAGGAATATTATCATTTACATATGTTAATTCTATTTACTACTTCCCTATTTGAGAATTTAGACAAGTAACTTCATTAAGGAAGTTTTCCCTTATAATTCAAAACATAAAACAAAAATAAGAATAAGATTCTGAAATTAAGTCACAATATACCAGTTTCCATTCACTGTCACTCATTTGGTAGGGATATTTTTTTCTTATACTTATTCAATGTTCAGTCTATTATAAAAACAGCATAAAGCTAAGAATGAGAGTTCTACAGCCATACTGCTGCTTTGATTAGAATCTTGGCTCCACCAGTTGCAGTATGTGTAATTTTGAGCAAATAGTTAACCTCTGTGCTTCAGTTTCCTCATCTGCAGTGCAGGGATAATAACCACATTATCTGAAAATGTTGTGAAGATGAGATGAGGTAATACGGGTAAAGTATTTTTAACACTGCTTGGCACACGGTAAGAACTTATTATTAACATCAACTATTATCTACGCCTAACCTTCCAATAATCCCATCCCAATCTATCCATCCTTGAGGTAGCAATAAGAAGTCACAAGAGTGAAAAACATAACTCAAGAACTGTTTATTTATAATGTTCCACTTTAATTGGGGATGCTAATAAATAAACCTGTGTTGTGGTGCTATGATTTCAACAAAATATTTCTGGTCTAAAGCCATGGTACTCAAAGTGACCTAAGGACCAGCAGGCATGGGCAGTACCAGAGAGTTAGAAATGCTGGCCTATGAAATCAGAATCTGCATCTGGTTCCTGTGGGCACTGAAGTTTGAGAAGCACTGCTCTCAAGAACAAGACCAAAAACCTATAAAGTAATATGGACATATAGAAAATACAAATAAGATACTGTAGAGACATAGGTTACATAGCCAAACCAATTACATTCCTTTGCAACTAAAACAAATTATAACTGTATTAAAAAAACAAAATTTATTCCCCCCAAATTGTTTTCTTACCTAATGTTAAGGTATGTTAACATCTGAAGGTTTTTAATGGCTTCAGGAATGATTTTGATGCAATTATGATATAAATTTAATGTTTCAAGAGGTGCAAATAACCAGACCTCAGAAGGAATTTCTGTAAAACGATTTCTTGAAAGATCTGAAAAATAAAAGTAATGTCCGCATGTCAAACATACACCTATATTTGTGGTAATTAACAGAACTATTTACACACTTGCTGAATCACTGAGAATCCAACCAACTATTCAAAATACTGACCTTGACCTTTTGCCTTAAGGCAAAAAATATATAGAAATATATACAAGGAAAGTCTGTTCATTAATAAACTGCACTTGATATACTTCAATATCTTTAAATATTATCTTTTAAAATACCAATGAAGAATTCTGATATTTAAAAACATGAATAAAACCATCCCTGATCCCACATCCCCCTCTACCCACCTCTTCCTCCTTTACAGCAAAACTTAAATAAATTTACAACATAATTATATTTAATACTTACCATGGACTTTTCAACCAATTATAATTTGCCTTCTATTCATTTTTATATTTACCAAGGTCACTAATAGCCTCCATATCAACCACCACTCATCCATTTGGAAATACTCCTTTTCCCTTGGCCTGGAAAACTACACTTCTGGATCATTTCCTATTAGCTCCCTGGCTGCTAGTAAGTCTCTTGCTAGATTCTCCTCTACCCATACTGTGAATGTTTTTGTTCCTAAGGACTCTGATATAAGGTACTCTTTCCTTAAGACATACTCTATTAGATGATTTAATCCAAAACTAGGGTTACTATTCATATACTGACAATTTCAAATTAAATACATGTTTGAACACTTATGTGCTAATCTTTAGGACTTCCCCTTCGTATCTCTCAGGTACCTCAAATTCTGCAAGTGCAAAATCTTAACTGAAGATCTTCCACGTATCTGTTTCTCTCACTTTAGATAATGTCACCAACATTCTCCTCATGAGCTGCTCAAGCCAGAAACTTGGCATTTACACTTGATTCCTTCCTCTCCTAAACTATTTCAAGTACAAACAAATAATTCTATTCACTTAAGTTTTCACATGCACACACACACAAAAACAGAATTATTATAACTATTATACATCTATTGATACTTTGTTAAATGAAATTTTGAAAAATACTTAGGATATCTTGTGGCAGGTTGGAAAAAAATACGCTAAAAGAGTTTCTCAACCAAAGTATTATTGACTTTTTGCTTGTATAGCTATTTGTTGTATGGAGCTATCATGGGCATTGTAGGATATTTAGCAGCATCCCTAACATCTATCTACTAGATGCCAGGTAACACCCTCTAGTCATGGTAGTCAAAAAACATCCCATGGAATATAAACCATCCTACCCCTGTTGAGAATTTCTGCCTGAACAATTATCAAATTAGCTATCTTACCATAGGAATATACTTTGCTAAGGGCTTCCCAGGTGGTGCTAGTGGTAAAGAACCCACCTGGCAATGCAGGACACTTAAGAGATGCAAGTTTGAACCCTGGGTGGGAATGATTCCCTGGAGAAGGAAATGGCAACCCACTTCAGTGCTCTTGCCTGGAGAATCCCATGGACAGAAGAGCCTGGAGGGCTACAGTCCACAGGGTCACAAAGGGTCAAACATGACTGAAGCAACTTAGCACGCACGCACACACACATACTTTGCTAACACTATTTCATTATACTTATTTGGTTAAAAACATAAGACTATCATTTACCTTTATCAAGAAAAACATCTGTGCAGTTAGGGAGTTTGGAATCAACATGTACACGCTGATGCTGCTGCAGCTAAGTCGCTTCAGTTGTGTCCGACCCTGTGCAACCCCATAGAAAGCAGCCCACCAGGCTCCTCTGTCCCTGGGATTCTCCAGGCAAGAACACTAGAGTGGGTTGCCATTTCCTTCTCCAATGCATGAGAGTGAAAAGTGAAAGTGAAGTCTCTCAGTCGTGACCAACTCTTAGCGACCCCATGGACTGTAGCCTACCAGGCTCCTCCGTCCATGGGATTTTCCAGGCAAGAGTACTGGAGTGGGTTGCCATTTCCTTTTCCACTACTATAGTTTAAATGGTTAACCAACAAGGACCTACTGTAGAGCACAGAGAACCTTGCTCAATGTTATGTAGCAGAAAGATATGAGGGGAGTTTGGGGAAGAATGGATACATGTATACGTACAGCTGAGTCCCTTTACTGTCCACCTGAAACTATCATAACATTGTTAACTAGCTATGCTGCTGCTAAGTCACTTCAGTCGTGTCCGACTCTGTGTGATCCCACAGATGGCAGCCCACCAGGCTCCCCCATCCCTCGGATTCTCCCGGCAAGAACATTGGAATGGGTTGCCATTTCCTTCTCCAATGTGTGAAAGTGAAAAGTGAAAGTGAAGTTGCTCAGTTGTGTCCGACTCTTAGCAACCCCATGGACCGCAGCTTACCAGGCTCCTCCATCCATGGGATTTTCCAGGCAAGAGTATTGGAGTGGGGTGCCACTGCCTTCTCCTGTTAACTAGCTATACTCCAATATAAAATAAAAACTTAAAAGAAGAACATCTATGGTGTATCTTAGGCCACTGTACCTCATTTAGCATCTGGTCTACCCACATAAGAACAGCTTCCTACCAACGCTAAAATTCCTCACTCTGAGGGATGAGACCTATTTATTTAGCAGTAAAATAATTTGCTATTAAGAATATCAATATACATGTATGTTTTTATGCATGTGTGTATACATGCACACACTCATTCACCTAATGCAAAATTCTGTAACTGGCTTAAGAAAATATTAGTTATGATTATATAAAAGTTAATTTGGATTCTTTTTCTTCTCACCAAAAGACTCTGAATAACTAAATAAAAGGACAGATAGAATTATTAGAAATCAAAATCTGAACCTCAAATAGAAGTTTTCAATTTACTGGCTCACCTCCTCTAGATACCCAGGCATCATGTAGTTCTATTGAGGGGGAAAAATTTAAGACTTCTTTTTTCTAGTTTAGAATATTTCTTTTACATTTGACTTTTACCTCTTATCATTGTAACTTCAGAATTCTAGGAGTTGAAAATTACTGCTTACAGTTAATTTGAAATCCTAAAAACAAATTCTGCCCAGTTTGTTTTTCTGTATAATATTTAGTAAGTACTCATAAATAATACAGTGGCCCTAGACTTAGATGATGGTAGCTTGCATGGAGATGGCAAGAATAAGGATAAAAAATAGAATTTGAAATGTATTTTGATATTAGTACTTATAGGAATTGGGCAAGTAATTGTCTATGCGGGATAAATAAGAGACAGTAATCAAGAATGGAACCCAGAAAAGACTGGGAGGAGAACAAGATGGCAGAGAAGTAGGATAGAAGGGCTTGCAGAACACCAGCTGAGAGCTGACAGGAGTACCTGATCACCAGAAAAGAATATACAGAGACAATCAAAACTCAGTAGGATGAAGGAAGTAGGAGGAAAAACAGGAGTATTAGTAGGACTGGACCTGCCCTCGGTGAGTGGGGGAACTGAAACAGGGGTCCAATTCCCATATCAAGGCAATTGTCTGGGTCACAGGAGAAACATTTAAGGCTGAGAGTGAAGCAGCTGATCTGTGGCAGCCTAAATGGAATGAGAATCAGACAGTCCTTGCCACAGCCATGTGTACCCCGGAAAGGGACGCAGGTCCCCTAGAAGGCGCAGCAGCTGGGAGCTGGGAATAGGGATTGTAGAGCAATCCCAGGGTGAGGGCTGCTGTTGACTACAGAGAGATGGACCAAGGGGACCTGAGGGAGGAGACTGTGGTGGGAAATGCCTGTGGAGGAAAGCCAGGCAGCCATGGAAGCAAGGCGACACTGCTGAGTCATGCATGGGGGTGGAGCCATCACCACAGCCTCTCTCTCCCCATAGGCCAGCACCCGCAACTAAACAATAGAGAGCCTGGCCCATCAAGCGCCTGATGCACCCAACAACAGAGAAGGACCCCAGACAAGGGAGCCATCTAAGTGCCTGAACAGGTGGAGCTATGGAGAAAGACTAGCCAAAGAGGCCTTCTGATCACCAGCTACCAGAGGCTTGAAAAAAAGACTCTGATAGGGCCATAAATCCTGTGGCTGAGGCAGTCTGTGTCCCTGCACACTTGGCACAGCCAGGGTCCCTGCAACCCAAGCAGCTGTGCCACCTTCATGCTTAACCCTCACTGGGGCAGACACAAGTCTTCCAGGACAGCCTCAGGAGCAAACCCCAGTGGACGACCCACATACACAGGTAGAAATAAAACCACAATTGAAACCCAGAGGCAGTGTGGCTAAGGAAGAAGACCCAAAACCTTCTCACCAGCTTTACAAGTTGCAGATTAAATCCACATGATCAACTAGGCAGCCTGTGTCTATGGAATATATAAAAGGACATTGAGAATTCCCACAAGAGAAAATCCACTAGTTCTGATAGCTGTGGACATTGGAGGCAAGAACACACAGGAGTAGGACCAGATTAGAGTCTGAGCTGCCCCCACTGCAGACCTGGAGACCAAAACAGTGCTGGAAGGCATCCTAGGTAGGCGAGGTGGACTATGACTCCCAGCAAGGGAAAGAAACCTGACAGCAGTGACTCAAGAAAAACATTTATTCTTCTTATATTTTGACTTGTTCTGTAGTTTCTTTGGGTTTTTTTTTTCTTTCCTTTTTTCCCCTCTGTTGTAGTTGCTGATTTTATTAGCACTATGAAATATAACTAAGCTTTTGAGTTTTTTTATTCAATCACACTTTTTATTCCTGTTATAAACTTCTACCTCTACATTGGCCTTTTACAGCTCTGTGGAGTTTTCTTTCTTCTTTTCTCTTTTTTTTAATTTTAATTTTTAAATTTCTTAAACCTATTATTTTTTTCTACATTTATTCCTTTGTTTGCTTTTTCTACTGTTCCTTTCCCCTTGCAGTTAATTTTATATATATATATATATATTCTTTATCTATCTCTATTTAACTTTGCATATCTACTCTTTCTTACTTTTTTCTCACCATATTTGTTAGTTTTGCTTTCATTGCTTTATTCCCCAGTTGGCACCGTGCTTTAGTTTTGTTTTCCAGTTTGTGTTTCAGTTAGTTTTGTTCTTAACTGGTGGATACCAGTTTTGGTTTCCA